AAATAATCTCAAAGCAGACACAAGAAGAATTCACATCTCTGAAGTACTACCCAACTTACAGCTGTATGCAATTTCAGCCCACAGATTATCCTGGAAACTTGAATCCACAAATTTGGCCATATAAGCAGTTCTACCATGGGCACACATTCTCACTGGTTGCTGACAGGAACAGTAGTGACTCTGAGGCCAAATTTTTGTTGAACTTGCAGATATAAACCTGCACACAGTTATGTGTACAACAGTAGCTTCTCCCTTGAGCAGACTGCACCATCCCAGAGTACTTTCCCCAAGGTATTTTTATTTCTACTGCAGATAAGAGATATACAAGAAAGAACAAAAACAACAAGCCATTTTCTACTCTAAGCAAATTTTGCTTTAAATTTAAACAAATCCCTAAACTGAGGGAAAGTTTATTTTCAGTGTGATTGTATTAACAGCTTATCCATACAGCAAGTTACCTGTTAATGATCCTGGTCACACTCACCATCTTTTCCAGAAGAATTCACTTTGTCTCGACTTCAGGCAGTGGCACAATCAGCTGAGTGGATCAAACCCTGATCCCCAAGAAGAGCAGCTGGGCTCACTAACAAGCAGTAGTTCAAAATTCACTTGGTTTCTTTTTCCAGCATCTGCTCACCCAAGAGTATGACAAACTGACCCCACTTGGTACATTTAAATTGGAGAGAGGCTTTTGGTCAAATGCTCTTAGAGTCTAATGCGAGTGCCTGGTGTGTCACCTAACTGAAAAGAAGAATCAGTGACATTACCATTACTCAGCTCCAGAGCCTGCCAGCATTTTGCTCACCTTCCAGCTAGATGTGGAACGAGAGCTGCTGGCAGCATACACCGGGTTCCAAGCTGGCTGTCCTTCAGACAGCATGCAGGAGTTTGTCCTCCACAGCTAAAAAAACTGCATGCAGGTTCAGCAGCATCCCCTAAGAGGTAAATAATACGACAAATGCAAATCAGGAATGATTTTGTTAGAACAGCTAATCACAGGTTTGTGGCAACAGCGAAACTCAGTATAAAGGGCATGCATAAATTTGTCACAGAACATGCTTCTAGTTTTCGCTGTCTCATTGCAAGCTTCAAAATAACAATTTATTCCATGCACACATGTATATACATGTATGACTTGGTCCAGCATTGCTAAAGGCACACAGAAAAAAAAAACCCAAAACAACAACAACCCCCCCCCCCCCCCCACCATTAAATCCCGTAGGGGAGTAGTATGATGAAATCCTGCTCACTCTTGCACCTGAAGTCCCCTCTAAGGTACATAATTTTCATGGTGGGGGTGGGTGGGTGGAAGCCACAGTGCCACTCCAAGCTATTTAGCCATCAACTTTTTACACACTGGCAGCTTATGCCAGTCACTTTAGATTCATGTTAATATGTATTTTCTGAAAAAAACTAGTGGCACACCCCCTGCCTACAGCTCATTGCAGACATTACTGACACCAAGACACCAATGGCTAGGTTTGTGTGAGTCACTGCTAATGAAGGCTGATTTGCAAACACTTGCTTTGAGGTCTGAGACAACAGGTAGTGATTAAGCTCAGAATTTCCAGCTCTAACTTTGGGATTAAAAAAAAAGATATATCTACACATAGCTCCCCCTCTGTCACAACTGTCTGAAAACATGAGGGAATCAGGACCATCCATTCGCTCCCTCCCCCCACCTCCAGTATTCCCACATCTTCAAGACAGGCACGCTGAAAGCAACCCAAAAGAAGGGTGCGTCTGATCTCATTGGTTACAAGCATCCGACATTAGCCCAGGCTCCAGGAATCATTATCAATGTTTTGTTTCCGGATCGTTTCCTGATCAAGTATTACAATGGAGCTTCAGCACGTGTGCTACAGCAGTAGAGGCTGCACAGAAGTTGTACTTGCCTTCCAAGACAGAACTGGATCCATGATTAGCATGCTTTTGTCCCAGCGCAATCAGGCAAAGATGTTAGCTGGGTGTATGCACAAGTGCAAGCACACACTGATTTCTAATCACTTTCCACTACTACTTGCACTGAGAAATTGTCAGCACATCCTAGAAATAAGGATGTTGTCTGCATCTGCCTCCTCAGGGGACAAAAGTACAGCAAGATGCAGCACCTCAAAAAAAATCTCAAACCAACCTTCCATGACACCATTCTGCATCAGAGAAGTTACTCAGCTCAACTGATAGTTGATTCACAACATCATCATGTATCAAAACAGCAGTACAGAACACACAGCAAAGATGATTAGCTCAAGTAGTACTTTTTATTTTCAGGATTAAAACTATCAGTGAGATAAAGCAGAAGAAACAGATGTAAACCCCCAAAGTTATTTGCAGTTCAGATGAGGCATCCTGGTTTCACAAAATCAGACAGGTGGGTAAAGCACAAACTGCCATAAGAAGACAGACTGCACAAAATACTGAGAATTGGTAACTCCTCTTCACCTGGTCCCCTTGGCACCCTTCCACAGTATAAATTAAAAAAAAATTCATGAGGAAAATATATTTGACATTGAGAAAAATCAAAAAACCATCTAAATTATTTTTACATAGGATGTGCTGATCAACATTTCTTTCAAAATTAAGAATACACTGCAGTTCAATGTAGATGGTATGACAGGTCTAACAAAGGGTAAGAGAAGTACTACTTAAACAGACAACACACAATGCATAAATATTCATGGCTATAAAATATAAGCAGATTCAGCATACAGTTCTAGAGTTGACATTCCTATTGCAGTCCCTACAGTGTAGCAGTTTACTTGGTAAGATTTTTAGAAAAATAAATATGCATTTAGGAGTAAACACACTTCAATAGAACAGATGTATTGAATTAGTGGGACTGATTATTTTTAATGCAAAAAGAGACTGATTTAACAGCCTAAACCAAAGTGCAGATGGGATTACCATTAAAGGTATCATTAAGTAAATCATCATACTCTTACCACAGCTAGTCCTACATACATGTCCTTAGCATAAAATTTATTTGCTTCTCACCATATGCTCTGGCTCTTCTACCTATCTGTTGAGCTAAAAACCAAAGCTGAAATAAGGATTTGTCAAAGAAGGAGAAAAAAAAAAATCTTATTTTTCACTGCCAAAAGAACTTCATTTAGACCTAATGAAATTCAAATAATTTTTTGAGTCAGTTCTGCTTCCCATATTAGACAATTTCTCTGTGCTTTAACAAGTATTGAAAAGTTGCCTGAAGTTTTGTCCCAAACAGTGGTCCTCTGACCAAAATTTTGATTATTAGGGTTTGGTAACTATGTGTTCAAGTCAAGATGAAAGTCTTAAAAAAACAGCATATGGATGTCATATTAAATACTGCATATTTAAGTAAATCTCAAGTCACACATGCTCAGTAAGACTTCCAAAGGCAACCCAACCCTAAATCAAAATATCCATGCCCTCTCTTTATCTAAGTCCAAAATCTTTGTCTGCTAAATGATGCATCAATGAACTCTGACACCTGAGAGAAGTACACAAAGAAACTACTTCCAAAGGCTTATCCAGATGAGAATGGATGAGCATGCTGGCAGAAGCCCTACTCCCATCTGAGCCAAAATACACAGTTTAAGTACTTTGCCTCAAGCAGTTGCTTGTTTTCTGGTTTCTCCTCTTCCAGCACCTACCAAATGGTCAAGGGGTCAGAACAATTCTTCTGGGGAGGTTTTTTTCCCAGCCTGTTTAAAAGTGAACTCTACCACTTTACAGATATACAAGCAAGACTAAAACCACTGTATTCACCATAGGTACACCAAACAGTAAAAACCTCCCACCTTCTCCTGTGCTCACACCGATCTTTATTCTCCTCAAGCTCACACATCCTGACCTTGCAGGCTGTTATTTGCTGACCTCAGGAGCAGACTGCTCAGGGCCCAGACTTGGCCAAGTGCCTCAGTGTGAGCTGCAAGGCTGTTGCTCACCTGCCAGACCTGCTCCACTCTGCTGCCCAGAACTGGGCTAAGCACTACCACACCTACTGTGTGGGCACTGAATGAGAACTACTGCCCTACTTCCTTGATCCTCCCTTCCTGCCCAGCACACCTTTTAATTTTGTAATGCTGGAAAATAGAGTCCACAACCCAAAGTCCAAGCCTAGATGAGCTCAATTTTGCAAAGCATGAGGAAGTCAGTATGTTTTGGTGTTGAGTAAGCAAGATAAGCCCATTATATGGATAGCTTTTCTCTGTGTAACAGAATACATGAAAGGTAGTTCATATTGCTTGAGATGGTTCCGGACAACCCTAGGACCAATTCTAAACACCAGCATGAATGCTGCCCAGAGTAGCCAGGAGATGTCATGTCATAGACAAATGTTACCTGCCAACTGCCCAGCTCACCATTTAAGACTGTCAGGTTCCTCACACTGGATGCACACCACCAAGCTCTGAAATGACAAGTCTCTTCTGAGAGGCCAAACTTACAGAAATGTTTCCCCCCCACATACTTAAACCATTAATACTAAATCTATTTTCCATTTCTTTTCCCTCTGCTAATACTCTTAATACCCAGCATGTTTCATGAGGCAAGAACTAACAGCCAATACGTTAGAGAAAATTCTGAGTTTGCACTTAAAAATGTGTAACCAAAGTCCTGCGCCCATCCCATCTCTATTCAAATAAATACAGCAGAAGGACTAATACTAGTCATTACTGTGCACACATAATACAAATACTGGTTAAGCCAAATCTCTCTTGAGGCAGATATATATATATAGTACAAAATATATTAAGGGTCAAATACAAACATCATACTCACTTCATCTTGCTTTATCTTCCGGTTCTGCAGGGGAACCTTGCAAAGGTATTATTTCTGCCTCACCGGCATGCAAGCCAGGTTAGAGAATCACAGAATATTCTGGGTTGGAAGCAACCCGTAAGGGTCATGAATCCAGCTCTTAAATGAATGGCCCATACAGGGATCAAATCCACAACCTTGGTGTTAACATCCAATTGAACTCTGAGCACCAAGACAATTTGCAGAAGAAAAACAACAAAACCAAATCCACATGGAGTTTCAGTTGGGGCCATGAGTAAATCAGTAGTAAAGTAAACAAAATTAAGCTAAGGAAAATCCAGGTATTTTAAATAAACTTGCAGTCTAAACAGAACTGTTCAAAACAGGTTCTGATGGTTTCATCAACAAGAAAAAAAATTACCAAACCTAATAAAAACCTTCTGCTGTGGTTTTAAAAAGAAGTATTAAACTAGAAATTTGAACATAGTTCCCAAACCCTGATTTTTATGACTTGTCCCCTATCACTGAGACACAAGTGGAAAGGAGACTGAGTGAAAAGCACTTCCCCTACCTCCAACTCCCTCTGAGAAATTATTCAGTTAAAAAATTCAAGGAACTCTAATGAAAGCCATGCAAACAACAGATAATTCAGATTACGGTCTGCTCTGAACTCGGCCAAGGTTCACATGGAAGGTTTGCAAACCTTTACATTTCCCCTGAGTTGTGACTAGCAAACAAAGAAGGCTGTGATTTTTCACAGCTGTCAGACCATGATGGCAGACACAGGATAAAACAATGAAAGAAATAATAAATCTGGAGATGAATTTTTCATTTGAATTAAATATGTATATAGACAATCCATTCTATAATAAATAAGCTTAGAGATAAATACAAATTCATAATCAGTGAATAAATAGTGCACCAACAGTTTCTTCAGGAAGATGATTGAGCAGAGAAGTATCTGCTAATCAGTCCCTTTTGTGCTTTAAAAAAAAAAAAAAAAACAATAAATGAGACCATAGGATACTGCCAGCTAGTAAATTAAGTGCTGATAAGTACCAATATATGATTGCATTGGCCCAAACATACATGGTCACATTTCATTGTGAACCAGCACAAAAATAAATGTGACTAAAGAAAGAAGCAGTATTAACACCCTCCTCTGCTTGTGTGATTATTGCTTACTCTGTCACAAGCAGGTGAAGGCTGGAGAAATTTCTCCCTTAATAGGTGTGGCTCTCTAAAAGCACAGTTTTCAGGTCTGACTGCAGAATTCACTGTCCCATCACAGATCACAATGATCCAATATTTGGGCTTTGAGCAGTCCATGTCAGCTCCAGTTCTCTGAATACCAAGCAAGTCCCCACTTGGCTCACCTCCTTCCAGAGAAGGGCTGCCTGGGTGATAGACTTTCCCCAAAGAAAATTTGATGGATTAAAAAAACCCAAGTGACCAAGAGGTAAAAAAGAAAGGTGATGCTGTATTTTCCTAAATGTGCCAGTAATTCAGGAAAATTAATGTTTCCTATATGTCACAGCAAACAGGAATTCAGACTTGAGTCATAATCCTCAAAATCTGGAGACTGAAATATTCTCCAAATTAATGCCAAAAGAAATATACTTAATCACAGTTGCAACTAATTTATTGAAGTAATAAAGTAAAATAAAGAGGTCAAGAAGAAAGATTGTGCCAAGCCTTCACCTCTCAGGCCCAAAGGACAGTTTGGATATTTAACACAGTGCTAACAGGTTTGCCCTGAACAACAGCAGTATTGTCTCTTCAAGTAAGTCAGAGGTAGTGTCTAAAACAGCATAACGAGTAGAGCTTCCAGCTGAACTCAGCTATGCCAGAGGTGGCCCAAGAACAACTCCACCCGGTCAGCCTGGTCAGGCTGCCAATGGGATCAGCAGTGATCCCTGGAGTGAGCCCTGGCCTGGGAAGCAGGCAGGATGCACACACATGGGCGCTGGGAGTATGGTCACCGAGGAGATGCGTGCCACAATAGGGTACATCTGCTCCAGAGGCCAGCCCCTGTCAGCAGCAGATGTGTGCATAGCTCAGCCACACAGAGCACGCATACACAGAAAGACAGACAGACACAGCAGCACACACACAGAGTACTCGGCTGACTCAGGTCCACACAACTCCAGGAGAAGGGACCTGGCTGTACATGATGTTTAACCACGTTTCCTCTAGGAAACATTTTTTCATAGAGAGAGATTACAATAGGTTTCACTTGACAAGTAAAACATTAAGCATAGTTCAAAGATGTCCACTAAGGAGCACATGTGGAACACAGCAATCAGGATTTAAGTTGCAGATTCATCCTCTTCCAAAAGGAGGTCGTTCAATGCAATAACTGTAGCAGCAAAATCAACCAGCTCCACAAAGTCTGATGTAATTATGTTAACACCCATAACACCAGGCTTCTGTGCTTTCACCCAATTCAAAATCATGGGCAGGTTCCTAAAGAAATTGAAATAAAGAAAATTAAACACTTTAAAAGAGGCACCTTTGTATACCTACTCTTCTCATTTCAAACACAACATGCTGTTTACAAAATATATTATCTCATATTTGTGATCAGGGATGTCACCCTAAATGCAATTGGCTAATGAGTGCTTAACAGAGCACATGTCATTAGCTATCAAACAGACATATTGGTCAGTCATCAGTGCCAGCTAGCAGACATACAAAATCCCTCTATATTCACTGGGTGGTCTGTGCTTCAGGATTTAACACTGCACTAAAAATTTCTCCACCGTGGTTTGTTTGCACCCAAGCACACGTTAAGTCAAACGCTCAATTTGACAACAAACCAGTGTAACACAAAGCAAGGCCATGCCTGGCCCAAGATGCTCCCTTGCCCTCCTCTGCCTCAGGGGAGGCAGGAGAAAAAGTTGGAGGCAGCAGCATCACATTTCTCCTAAATTCTCTCCAGCTTCCAGACTCACTCAAGAGCAATGGGGTCAGGGAAACCAAACCTAGAACGAAGCTGTCAGCTCCACAGGGGTTGAACATCCTGCTTATACATCGCTACAACTGGATAAAGGAGAGTTGTGTCAGGAACTGAATTAAACAGAGTTAGAAATTCTACTATGGGGAGAAATTTCAAGGTTAGGAGTCTGCACCAGCTCTCTTGCACTCTAACATGAAATACCATGCTTTTCAGCAGTTAGACACAAACGGTTAAATATGTTTGCATTATTTAGATTAGTGCTGTAACATGTATACATTATTTGAGAAGATGGTAGGCTAGCAAATTAGCTAACAGAATGATTAAGAGAAAAAAGCAAATCCAAAAAACAAAGTCACTTCACGCCTGCTGAATCAGGACAATAAAAAATAAAGCTTATCAAGAACTATGAGTAAAGGCATAACTATTGCCAAGGGACACACCACACTTCAGCCAGGTAAGTGTGACTTGTTGCAAGTCTCCTTTAGCAAGACCTGAGAACACTTAAATATTCAAATCCAGGGCAAAATTTCCATACAAGAAGGCAGGTATCTACATAAAACAAGGACAGATTTGCCTATCAGCTAGCTTGTGCAAATGCACACAAGTAATCACACTTACGCAAACAGCAGCACCTATCTGCAACTTTTGGTTTAATTGCAAACAAGTGGTAAGGATGAGAGAAAGGGACGGACTGAAGGCAGGCTTCCCGCTAACAGTGGCTTAGAGCACAGATCTGTGCCAGGAGTCCCTCGAAACAGAGTTGCCCGCCCATTCCACGAAATGCAACGATCCTTGCGTAGTTTTGGCCCAGCAATCCCGCCCGGCCTCGGCGCGGATGCCCCGCAGGGTCCGGCGCTCGCGGGCTCCCAGCGCCACCTAGTGCCGAGCGCGGCCCCGACACCAAACCAACAGCTCGGGCCGGACTAACGCCTCCAAGCACGAGCGGGACTGAAAACGCCGAGATTTATACCTAACCAGGGATTTTCTTATTCACAGAATCACTGGGTGGCCTGGGTTGGAAAGGACCTTAAATATCATCGCAGTCTAACAGCCCTTGCCTTTTGCAGGGACATCTTCGAGCCCGACCCAACGTGGCCTTGAACACTTCCAGGGAATGGGGCATCCACAAATTCTCTACGCAACCTGAACCAGGGCCTCACCACCCCCACAGTAAAGATTTCTTCCTAATATCCACGAGGACTTTTACAGTTCTGGTAATTTTTAGCAAATGGGCTAGAAGGTGGTAATTCCATAAAATAAATAATATTAAACTATCCTGGTCATGCTGTTAATACTAATAAAAATCACTGTCACTCTGCTAATCAAAGCAAAATTCTCTTACAGGGACCTTACTCATAGGAAAATTAATTGTACAATGGTCAATGGTATTAAGTCAAATGGTGAATCTAATTTTTGGAAAGCCTCCCCCCCAGCTCCCTTAAAATACAAGGTAGAATACTGCCCTAGGTCATACACCTCTGGCTGTTACTGAAATTACTGAGACATCTGTATGGATAAATGTAAAACTAAGTCCAGAAATAAGCAATTTTCCTCTGTGGCACAAGCTTTTTTCACCCCTCCTCCCTTAAATCCAACTTCAGCCAGTTTGAAATGAATTACTGGTTTGAAGCCACACATCCATCCTACATTTTACAAAATCATATCACATTTCAAAAGTTCCAATTACCAGGAAACACATATATACCCTGTTCCTTTATTATTTCCACTGTCTTTATTTTCAATGATTGCAAGTATCTTTCATGAACAACAGTACTGAGCAAAATGGCATGCTTTCAGCAAGCCTAAGCAAACATCTCCTAGTTTGTTTCTTGCTCAGTGCCTCTTTCAACACCAGACATGTTAAGTAAAGAACTGAGACAATCAAGACAAGTCCTTACCTATGAACAAGTGTGTTCTTCAGACCACGAATCAGATGCCGTGCAATCGTTTTCACTCGAGGCGTGAGAATTGCTTGAGATACATGGAAAGTCCCATAACGACTTCGTTCCCCAAGTGTGGTCTCCAGGAACTGCAGCAGTTTGTGCACATTAGTTGTATTAGCCCATGGTGCTGGCATTTTATTACCTGGCCACAGGAAGGGATATGCCTGATACAAAGGGTGGTGGTAAAATATGAGAACCTAAGAGAACAAAAAAAGAAAAAAACAAAACCCAAACAAGTCAAAATTACCATATTTTTATTTTAACAGGCTGCTGCATTGGTTTATGTTCATACAGTACTGTTACACCTAGCATAGCAGTGAAGAGGACTAAGTAAAAAAGTTGCTCTTGAGTCATGAGTGTCAGTGTAACTTGAGTCATGAGTGTCAGTGTATTTGTTGCACTACAGCCAAAGGAGATTAAGATAATTTTATTCAGCTTTGAGGACAAGATTGCTTCAGGCTTTATGGGTCATCAGTTTAAAATGACAAAGTTGCCTTTGTCATTTAAAGAGCTCAGCTTAAAAGCATTGCAACTTCTAATGCCAGAAAATACTCTATCTGTACTTGAAGGTAAGGATTTTAGCAGCCTTGCCATCTTCTGAATACCTCCTTCTAAGAAGGCAAAGTGTGCAGGGCTGATTGGCACATGACTGAAGTACTGGCATCGTGCTCACACTTGCTGCATGAGAAACCAAAGGCAGTCCTGCTGTCAGCAAAACCCTCAAATCCAAAATTAATGTTTTTTACCTTGTAAGGTGCTTCTCTACAGCACAAAGAGGACACATTTTTTACAAACACCCACATTTACAGAAGATTAATCTTGAAGCTTAACATTGACAGCATCAGTTCAAAACAATTCCTCAAAGCTTCATTTCCAGTTCAAGAATTATGTGCTGCTGCTGAAACCCTTTTCTGTTCTCAGTTTTTGTGTACCTATGGAAGCAGTTACCACAGAGAAGAGCTATTAACCTCACCTCTGCAGATCTGGATGGCTGCAAAGGAGGTAAGAAATTGCATCCATACCTTAGTCATGCTAAAGCTTATATGCTTCACACTGGCTAGAAAGACAACAGTTAATAAAATCCTCACCAACACAACTCTGCATTACATGCCCTTCCAGAAGAGAAAACCCTTTGTAAGGAGCACAAGGCTCCAAGGACACTACAGTTTAATTATTTAACAAATGTGCTTGGGAGCAGGACAGACTGGCCACACCATAGAAGAGGGGATACATGGCTGCATGTAAATGGAGGAAAACATGCACATTGCATAGACGAGGCCCTAGTGGGCTTTAACTTGACCATCAGCAACATCCTTGGTCCAATATCTGTGAGTGGGAGCTACACTTGGCTTGTCTCTTTAAAATCTTAACATTTTGGGTTTGAAAAACATTAAACATCCTTTCCCTACCTGGTGTTTCTTCTCCCACATGTACAGTAACGTGACATATTCTACACATTCAACACAACAAAGTTTGGATTCAAATGCTGAGCGGATCCTGTTGATCAAGAAGTGGTGATGGCTGTCATCCATGGCATAGAAATGATTGAAATCCAAGAAGATTACTTCCTTGGGGTGCTGCTCAAGAAAACTATTCATTTCCTTCAGCCCATCCCATACTTTGATGCCAAACAAGCCATGTATGAAGTAAATCTCTTGTCCTATTTCCCCAGGTTTAGAAGATACACGAAGATCAAAGTAGCGGATCCCGCCTTCTAACTGCTCTTTGAAAGTCAAATTTTGAGTCACTGACCATTTCTTCATGATCTTTCTAACCAAGGAAATTCTGGCCAAATGTTTGATGGCTGTTGCTTGGTCTGGTCCCACTGGAGATTTCTCATCAACCCAGTAGCTGAAAGAATCATGTGATCCTAGAAAAAAAGCCAAGAAAAATTAATTTTAGAAAAAGCGGCTATCCCATAACACATGTGGCCTGAAAACTGAACAAAGTCTACATGTGTGACAGGGGTGCAGAAGCATTATGCTCATATGTGAGTCTTTCAGATGATCCTTTACACCTTTTCCCTGACAGTATAACAAGAGTTAAGCATAAGTGAAATAGAGATTTTTGGAGTTCACTTGAGTTAGCAATATGAATTAAGCATTTAAAGTTTAGCCTGTAGAACTATGTGTTGAATTTTAACCTTTTTACTTGAGAAACCTCTGCCATGATACAAAGGGCATAGTAAAATGCAAATTTCTGAAGAGCTTCTTGCATAAAGAACAGTACCAGAAAAGACCAAGAGATGCAAAGAAACCAGATAAAGGGACTCCTCCATCTCTGAGCTAATCAAGGCTGACAGACATACTCAGATAAGCACCAAGGGACCAAAAGCGCATGCACAAAAGAGAAAAGTTCAAAAGTTCAGTCATGAGGAAGACCACAATCTTCAGCCTCAGAGACCACTGAGAGACCCCCGTGTGACCACCACAGCAAACAACGCATGCCCAGAAGGGCGTGGATCTGATTACCATGCAAAGCAAGAACAGGGGGGGCCAGAGATTGAATATGCATGGCAAAGTTGTGCAATGTATTGCATATGGAACACCTTTGTGAATAAAGATAAGGGTCAGACTGAGGCTCAAGGCACAAGTTTTCACGAGAGCTATCTCGCTTGTGCTGGGCGCTGACATACCCACTTCATAACTATATCTGGTTGTGGAGTTTATTTATTCCACATATCGCTTCATAAGGTCCTCAGTTTGAACTTTCTTTCACGAGCTCCCAATTTCAACGCTCTCTGAACACCACAAAAAAAAACATTTGTGGTAAAGGTAAACCTCCTTCTAACCTTCCTTCATTCCTTCCTTCACAAATTATAAATCAACCCCCACAGCTTTCCCAAAGCCTTGTACATGACTGATCTAGGATGAGGCTCCAGAATAATTTTAAAAACCTGAGACTTAATTTTTTATTTTACACCTGGTGTATGCAACCATAACCTTACACACCAAACATCTTGGAACAAGTTTCTTTATTCACATAATGGACTGAGGGATCTGCACCTGCACACGCCTTACCAGCACATCTCCCTTTAGCCCCAAGATGGCAGATAAATGATTAGTAGTTTGAACAGTGGGCAATGACTGGCTGGACGTAGAGGTGGAACAACTGAACACACCACCAGTTACAGTGTGGATGGATACCAAGCTCATGTTAAACAAATTCATGAACATGTCTTTTACCTGGCAAGCTTTCAAGTGACCAAAGGCATGGTGAAAAGAAAATTCATCAAAAAAGTACAACCAATGTTATATATGATAGAGATAATTCATGCTGTAGAAATAGACATATGTACATATAAAATATTAGGAGAAAATCAAACCTATGCTTGTGACCACTCTGGCCGGGAACAGCATTCTATTCACATTACAACCAATTCCCAAAGAGCATTAAGATAATATCAAACCTGTTGCAGTATGAATAGGGGAGCCCTGGACCATGAGCTACACCTGCAGTGCTCTGACTGGAACAGAGTTATGCACATCGTAACCGATTGCTGGACCATGCTGAGACAATACCAGATCTGTTACCGTATGAATAGACAGACATGGGCTATCAGAGGGGGTTTCCTTTGGCACCAGCATTTGAAAATAACATCTGGACCTTCCTGGGAGATGATTAATGGAATGTCTCAAGAAGCTCACAAGACTGGGCACCTGGACTGATTAAATCTATGGTACTCAGGAGCTGGCACCAACTACTCCATGCAAATACATCTTCTGCCTGGGTACTCAGACACTTGTCTGGGTCTTGGACTCCTTCTTTGTCTGTTTCTACACATGTATGGATCCAACTTTACATGCAAAGAGACACAAAGAAATATGTGGTCATCTCTGCCTCAGGCAGAATAAACTGTATATAAGCTGACTGCGAAGAACACTCGGGGGAAGGCTGTCACTCTGTCAGCAGGAACCCAAGGTCACCCAGCGGCTGCACCCGGGGCTGACGCTGTCTTGGCTGTGGTGGGATTTCGAAATTTTCTATTTTTTGTTATTCAATCTAATAAATCTGTTAAATTTTTATAAATTTGGCTACAGATCTGATCACTTATAACAACCAACAATCAAAATCACCAGTCCCAACCAAAATAATGCACGTCCAAAAAAGCTCCTGTGACACAACCTGTACCTTGGCAGAGAAACTGCACCTCCAATATAAAATTATGGCTTATTAGAAAAATCTCCAATTGAAAATTCAGTAGTAAATGGGAAAAAAACCTGAGAAGCAACAAAGCTCCAAAATAAAAGTTTCAGAGTGGCTGAAATATCCCTACCTTAGCCAAGTCAGCAACAGAACAAAGAGTGAAAAGGCAGCGTATCTTGGCCTGCACCGTATCAGAACAGCATAAAGCAAAGACTAGCAGAAGCTGATCCACCACAGACTGGGGCTTACCAAGGATTTGTGGTCATTTGCACTAGGTACCAGCAATCTAGCCTAGAAGCTGTAGCTGCTCCAGGCTCACCTTCCTTGTGAATTTCCAGCAAGCACATAGGTGACGAGAGTTTGGCCCATTAAAGCCAGACCCCACTTGCTATCTGTGCTGGAGTGTAGAGAAAGCATCTTCACCCAAGGAGCTCATTTTCCAGCTGCCCCAGGGTACAGTGACCTGGCACCTGTGTTTTAAATTCCTGCATGTTTGTCTCTGCTTCTAGTACTATGCTTTTCTCAAATTTCCTCCTCTATCTCAGTCTGCAACTCTTTGAAATCCCAATCTGTACCATTCAATCTGGACAACATTTGAGGCATTCACAGCCTCCTTTATCCAAACCTTTTATTTGTGTACCAGTGCTCACTTGAGCACTGATGCATTTTTTGTGATGCAACATAAGAGCTACAAACAAGATTATGATTTAATGGGATTATGTTGTTGGCATTTTTAATCCAGATGAAAGAACAGACTGTGCATAAACTAAACATCACTTTTCAATAACCTTAAATGCACTCTGTTTCCATGGATTTCAACTAGTTCAAAACCAGTGAACAGGTAGTGTGAAGGTGAGTTTTTAAACTTTACAAATGAACACTAAAACTTATTCTGACCAATTCTCCATGAATTCTTCACAGCATTTGTATAAGTGAATTTCTGTTATGGTTTGCCATTCAGTCTTCTAGACAGAAGTGAGAAGTGCCAAAGATGCCATCTTAAGCAACTTTTTAGTACCTGTCCCAATAAACATCACAAAGTGGCTGTCAGTTGTGGAGCAACACCTAGATTTTCTTTTTCCCCATCTCCAAACATGCAATCCCAAACAAAATCCAGGAGCGAACACCTAGTGAAGACATTTCAGAAGCCATATGATGCTTCAAACTGTAGTTTACAGATATTTGAGTTTCACCTACCTCCCTGTACAGCAGAATGAGTCATTCAAGCTTCTACAATATTTGGAAAGTAGACTAATCACAAGGGGCTTGCCTTCTGCCTTGGAATTAGTATCTCTGCACAAAGAAATCTTTCATTTGGTTGTGTTTTTTGTTCGGTTTTTTCCTAGGTCTTAATTCTATTAATTTTTATTTTTTCTTCTGTTTAGGTCACTGTAGAAGACAGTTTAACATTGTAGAATGTAATATATGTTAGAAATAATTCATGCTATAAAAGAATGTATTTTATAAAGATTGTGAAATCCAAACGAGTCTCTGACCACAAACAGGCTGAGAGGCAGATGTCTATTCAAACTCCGAAATTCCTGGAGTCGAATCGGCACTTTAGCCCAAGAATAGATGCACAAGACGTGATGATCGCCGCTATCCCGTCATCGGAAACCGCCTAAGAGCGATCATCTCGCTCTGCAGATAACAGTGATCAAGACAGCCAAGCCAGAAAGATACATGCCAATACTCGACTTCCCAGGATTCGATCAACGCTGGCTATCAACCAGGAAACAGCGATTGTCCAGCTCTGCACAGTGAAAGAGCCAACTATGAATATGCAGAGTTACAAAAGAAACTTGGACTCCTTTGCCTTGGGCACAATAAACTGTATAAAACATCCCTGCTAGAAGTGGCTCTCATGAACGGGGGTGGGGGGATTCGATGCGATAGAGGCCGGATCCAGGTTCACCCAGCGCCGATCCCGGGCTCGATGCTGTCTCTTTGGCTGTGGTGGTTTTGAGGACCATATTTTGGTTGCAGAAAAAGATAAATAAATCTTTTCACATTTTTTGATAATTTGGCTTTTGATTGATCATTTATAACATAGAATAATGACATAATAAATAATTTTGTATTACCTAAGACAGCGCAGCATCCTTGAACCTATAGGAATCACTCACACCATTATGCTCCCTTAAACTGATAAATCTGACTTACAGAGGAATGAGAATTTTATCTTGCCACTAATACACTGTCGTCACCTCAGAGTTGTCTAAGTAAATCTAAACCAAAAAACAACTTATTTTCCTTATTCTGGTAATTCACTTAGCAGCTACAAAAGTCTTTCCTTTGCAGTTTGACACTTACAAGGCGCTTTTAAGGATACAAAGAGCAAATTTTCTCCCTGCACTATCACAAACCAAATTTTACTTATAACCTAGCACTAGAAAGCAGTATTAAAAAAAAAAAAATCCACAAAAAACCCAAACAAGTCACGACATTGCAACTTTTTCAACACATACTTTAAAAACTGCACTCCTTAACAGGAAAGTGAACTATGTGTGACATGCTTCTAATAGTTAGAGAAGATCCTGTTAACTCCTGCCCCATGGCTCTGCTAAAAGCCTAGGAAATGGAGCTTTCCTCTTACATCGAAGTCAACATGTATACCTAGATATAACCAAGCAGAACACTAGCTGCATTTGCAAAATGTATCCTCCTTTTCACTCCTGGTAGCACATCACTATCTAAGAAGGGCAGGGGACCATCACAAATTCT